CTAGTCCGGAACTCCCTCAATGATCATCATGAAAGAAGTCGTCGATGAGAAGGGGATGTTCCACCACGGCCTTATATTGCGAGCTGACGTCCGAACTCGCATAGGCATGCAATGTCATGACCTCACGCCGTTCAAGAAGTTAGGGTCCATCCTCGATGATATGGAAGGATGGAACTTGTAGTGATTTACGATGCCGATGATGATGATATGTGTCGGTTGAACTTGTATACTTTCTGTAGCGATGAAACTTTGTGATGTCTACGGTCCCTGCCGAACTTGCATAATGCTACTTTGTTAGTTTGGGTACGATGACCTGCGTACCTCTAGTTAATTAGTTTGCGTACTATATGTTGCATCTAGTTGCTAACCCTTTCTTTTTCGCATTGCTCTAGTATATTTTGTTGCATATGATTGTACATTCTCTTGATGAAGATGCATCTCTAACAGGTACCTAGCTTCTTGATGGCGAAGAAGCAGTGCTATGTCGTGTAGAAAGGGAAGGTTCCGGGGGTGTACGACGAGTGGCCTGCGTGTCAGGCGCAAATGAATGGGGTCTCGGGCACCAGCCATAAAGGCTTCAAAAGCAGACAAGAAGCAGAAGCTAGTTACTCGAGGTTCATGCTAGCGCGAGAAAGGACTCGTAACAGCCGCCTCATGTACAGCATAGTTCCGCTCTCACTCATAGTGATAGCTCTTCTCGCGTATATCATTGTTTAGATGGATGACGATGTAGTTGCAAGTATTCGAGACTTGTATCGCTGTTTTCAAAATGATGATGAAAGACCACTTTCTGTTGGATGATGATTATGATGATGACCACCTTGTATCGCTATGTATATGCTATGACTACATTTATATGTGTATGATATGCTAGAGATTATTGTATAAAGCCCAAAACAAAATTCAGCAGCACAAAATGTGGATTTTTTTTTCAAAAACTAATAACAGTAGCGTGGGGTATGGCATTAGAAGCAGCGAGCTGTTAGCAGTAGCGCTCTTTGCACAAGGGCGCTGCAGCTCTTATCAGCAGCGCGTGTTTCAGACAAACGCTGCTGCTATCCCTAGTTAGCAGTAGCGCTGGTCAGGCCGCGCTACTGATAAGTAGTTGTAGTGCCGTATCAGTAGCGTGGTCACCCGCGCTACTAATAAGCATATAACCCGCGCTACTGCTAGGCTTTTTCCGAGTAGTGTCACAGGGCATGTGAGGATCAAGAAGCTGCTACTTAGGCTCGCCGATCTACGGACATCCTCAGTTCAGCCAGTAGCCACTCTTCTAGCAACAGAGGTGGACCATCAATGTTCAGATAAACTAGCAGAAAAATGCAAAAATCTAATGGTTTGCAATAGTCTTTTCTTTATCATAATATCATCTGCCAGTTATCCCTATTTTGTCAGATAAACATGGTAGAATTACCATGGCTGTATTTTATTGCTATAATATCTAGAGTGATCCAGTGTACTTTGTTGCCCACAAGAAGATGAAACCTTGAGTGTTGAAGATAAATCGGTTGTTGCCATGGAAATTTTCCATACCTTTTGTCAACCGTTTGGGCTTACTTGAACATGATCTGTTCTATAGGCTCGGACCGCTGCATCATTTACCAACAAGGAGGCAAGCACTTCAGTCTGCTTGATGCATTCTGTCTCTGGGCCAGAGCGTGATTAACGGCCAGGATTTTCCTGATGGGGCAATCCGATGGCTGTAGAGGATCGTTCCTGCCTGGCTCTCACGCCTGTGTCGGGTGGCCCAGAGGTTGTCTGACAGACTGTTCGCACATGAACACGTCACCGTGTACCTCCAACGCCGAGGGTGATGCACCGCAGCTCACGTCCAAGGAGACCCGTCCGGAAGCGCGGTACGCAAGCAATCCGACGGGTGTTCTTCTGGACCCGAAACCCAACACGCCCAGGAGGGACCCCGTCAGGGCGCGAGACGGCTATGGGCTGCCCTAGGTCAACCTAATCGCCCCTAGGGCCTCGAGGTTCGCCGCCCTGCAATGAAGAAGAACGAACGAAGAACGAGGAAGAAGAAGAACAAGGAAGAGAGATAAAAGTAAAGGTAAAAAGTAGTAGATGATTTGTTCGATTGTGTGTTGTTGTTCAATCGGCCGTCACCCTTTAGGTACATAAGAGGTGGTTGGACTTCCCGTGCAAGGAAAAGTCTTGGATTCACATCCAAAACCCTAGTCAAATTCGGATCGGTTTTGTCCGAACTTTCCAAAATTATTCAGTTTAAACTGGCTGCACCTTTCGGATAATTTTTGAGGTGATAAACGACCTCGGATGAAAACGATCCCAAAAGCAATCTTGACCGTTTCGACGATACGAACAACTCTCATGTTGAATATTTTTTTATCAGATGTCATCTTAAGGGTCAAAGAGGTCACGCAAAACATATGTTCCCTCGCGCTACCCATCAGACATGCGTCTGGTGGGGCGCGCCACAACTTGGCTCGTGACAGGACTGTACTCCGATTGCTCTAACTTTTGCATATGAATTTGGATTTGAGCGATTTTTATATCAAAATCGATCGTTTCGACGAGACGAAGACAATCTATGTAGGTCAGTTTTCCATTTGAGGTCGTCTTGGGGGCTTAATAGGCCAAACTGTACTCTGAATATAAGATCTTAGTATTTTGAGCATAGTTTCGGCCATCGAGAGGAAATCGGACGGCGATGGCCCAAACTTTAAAGATGTTCACGTTGATAATACGGAACTTTTTTATGTAGACCACTTCTCCATTTGAGGTCATCTTAATTAAGTTCTTGACCATGTCAAAATTGGGTGTCAACACGGACAAAAAATTATGATTAGATATTTGTTGTATATGAAATTGTGAGAGCAACATGATTGTAAAAACAACACATGCACTTTACACGGGCATCTTGCAGGGGAGAGGCGTGCCGCCGCTCCTTCTGCCTGCAAGTAATATACTTACGCGAGCTTTATTTGTACAGTTTAGGCTTGCTCTGCTTTATGAATGGACACTTTTTCTGTTGTAGTTATATTGTTGTGCCTTATATTTTTAACCACTAGCATGTAACTGTCACGCTCGCTAAACTAAGCCGCGGTAACAAATATGATAGCATGTTTAGTGTGCACAATCCCAACCACTAGTGCTGATATACACAGGGCCGGTCCTGACATTTTGGGGGCCCGGGGCAAAACTAAACCTAGGGGCCCTTAATATAAACAAAAGTATGTATTTCCAAAAATATTTTGAATCGCTAGTCAAAGAAAATACAGTATGTTTCTCTTTCTTTTTTACTATTTATACAATATGTTCCTGTTTAAGTCTCTTCGTTAGCAATATATCTGGTAGCTTTATTGTTATGTTTATCCTATAATTTCTTTCATCCTAATCAGCTGTAGAAAAAACTGGCACCTCGTCTAGAATAATGAATAATTTAAATGCCAATGATCACTCACGTTATCATCCATTTAGATGTCAGATTGTATTATGTATAGCCCCTATATGGATTAGTTTAATCCTCCATATAAAAAAATAATAACCTGAATGATATCTATCCGTTAACAATACTGATAAATCAATTGTTAGTTTCCAATTGCAACAACGCAGAGGGCATGTCGATGATCATTCATACTTCTAATCAACTATCATGATAAAATTTCCTAGGCCATACATACAGACTACCTATAAAAATAGAGATTAGAGACATACCTTCTTTTCTGTAACTGTCATCGTATCCTAACAATATTGATCTAGCCTCCCACCGAGTCAGTGTGGTCTCGTCCGAGGCAGCGACTGCAAAAATGCTACACTTATGGACAAGTTACGGATAAAACTTAACTGCTCCGAGCCGAGGCGGCACCATGCATGCATAGTAGTAGATGGATATCAAGCTTCGCGATCTTGATCTATTCTCGCCGTCCGTATCATTGTCGCTTCCCACCAGTCCTGTTTTTCTCACAAAAAATTGGGCGCACAACTTTCGGCTTCTGAATTAAGGAAGGTGTTTTTCACAGAAAGATTAAGTAAGGAAACTAAGAGCGGATTGTTTCCATAACCGTGCCTAATTAACCGCATCCAATAACTGCTCTATTAATTAATTGGAAGGACCATCAATCGTATACTAGAAGCACGAAGAAAGGAAGGCAGGAAATCAGGGAAAAGGTTGCAGGTGCACCTCGGCGTTCTGGGCAGGAAATCAGA